ACTCCTGGGCGAGGGGGCGGAAGATGGTCATGAGTGTGACCTGGGGTGGCTTGCTTCTCCTGGCCGGGCTGTGAACACGAGGCAGTCACACCCTTTCCACCTTCTGCGTGAAGCTTTGGGAGGCTCAGGAGAGATGGTGCTTATGATTGCTTGCTGAAGAGTTGTCAAGGCTCTGCCCGTGTCAGCTGTTACTACCCCGGTAATAGTTATGAGTAGTAAGGAAGGTGGTACTCAGGGTGGGCCATGATAGTTGACAACGGTGATTTCTGTCATGCTTACTGGTAGCAGGAAGTTTCAGGAAATAAGGCCTTTGGGTGGGTGAGTAAACACTGCGCACTAAAGATTTATTTGCCCTTTTCTTCATATTGTCTGATAAAACCATCAGTGAATTGAAAGTTATCAAAGATCCATCAGTGTCTTTGTCACCACGTGGCAGGAGCAGCAGGTGTGAGAGGGGCACAGTTCCGTCACTGTTCCCTCCTGCCCTACCTCGCCTGGCACAGACCATGCCTTCTCTAAACACTTCCCCTCTACTCGCACTGCTCCTGGTCATCACTGTGGTGGAAAAGGAAGGGCGCATTCTCAGCCTGGCTATCCTAGGCCCCAGTACCCTCTGAGTGCGCAGGAAGGAGGCCCTTTCCCTCATTTCCTCCTAATGCGTTGATTTGATTTGAGTGGAGAGGTGTCCTTCTGGGCGGTTTTCTCACACTCATTGTGGAAATGCTTTGGTTTGGGAGAGGGTCCGAGGCATCTTTAGCAGTGTGTCTGTCGGCACACACCGTCTTCATAACACACGTTACACAAAACAACTAGGGCCAGCCCTGCCTGCTGAGAGCTGGCCACCCTGGGGCCGCCTCGAAGGGGCGGCTCCTTGGAGAGTAGCCCCATTTGAATGAGGTTCTCTCCAGTATAATTCCCTGTTACTGCTCTTGGCTGTAAATGAAAATGCTCTCAGTTCTGTTGTGCTCATAGGGAAAATAAATAGTGAATTCAGAACTCCTTTTAGCGCCCATTAAAATTACTTTGTGATTCAGCCTCTCCATCTTTGCTCTTCTCTGCATGAGCCACCTGCAAGCCTTCCTGGAAGCAGGAAAAATACACACCCAGTGTTTTCTAGCACCCCTCCCACTCTGCTCCAGCACAGCCCAGAGCGAGACTCAGTGTTGCGCTTGTAATAACACTTGTGAGAGGCTGCTCCCTCCCTTCAGCCCGCGGGCCCTGTAGTTGTAGCTCGTGGTGCTAAAATGTTCTTCTGAATACCTCTGGCTGTTTCTACCCACCCCGCCAGGATGCATTTTAAAAAGTGCTTATATCAAAAATGCATAGGTATTTATTTTAATTTACATAAAGGCCCAGATCAAAATGTCTACCAAGATGGCCTGTGGTTTGCTGCCAAGTTTGGTCATTACAGCAGCTGTGATTCAGAGAAAAATCTAAATTCTGAGTTTATACAGGTCATGTCACAGTGGCTGAGGTGTTGTAGCTGAAACTGTGGTTTGCCTGGGTCCTCTACTCCATCAGGTGTTTTTGTTGGGAGTGGGGACTGAGGAGGCAAAGAGGCGGCTGCTGCTGTGCTGGTTTGAAAGCGGTCTCCACAGACTGACCCCATCCCACTCGTCTGTAATTCTGTGTATCCTACCCATTTGAAGATGGAATGTCTAGATAACTCTACTTCACACTTATTTTCTAACTTCACAATATGCTGGTGCAGGTGTGGTTTTGGAGGACATGTGTCCAAAGTCATGACATCTCAGTAAAATGTTTCCTTCTTTGCTCCCAGAACTGGATTTTCATTTATTAACTGCCTTCGTCTTGTTTAGTGGGTTTAACCAACATTCAGGTATTTAGAGCATTAAGACTCAGTGCCCTTTTTCTATCCTGCCCAGAGCACAAATAAGCAGTTTATCAGTGATGCGTCAAGAATGTTTTTCTGTATCGTTTTCTTAACTGTTTAATATGCAGAATTCCAAATAGCAAAGAGGAAAGAGTTGTTGATAAACATCTTAAGTACCTACAACCTAGACGCAACAATTTTTACATATACACTTTCTAATATTACGTTGAAATTCACTTATGTCACTTCGTCAGATAGGATTCATCATTTTGATTTGTCTCATTACCCATTATTGTAATCAGTGTCAATAAAACTCTGATTGTCACTCAACAACTAATTGCTGATAGCCAAGCATGTTGTGAGGCCATGCAAAGGATATAAAAATCAAGCCTGGTTCTGAAAGGCACACATGGCAGTGCACACTGTGTCTGTCCTCGCAGGGTTTACAGTCTCAGTGGAACTGAGGCAGCTGCACATGAACATACAACGAACAGTATAAGTTGGTTCAGAGAAAGAGAAGATTAGTCCTGTAGGGGTCCAGGAAGGACTTTTGCACAAGAGCTGGAAATTGAACTGGTGCTTCTAGAACACGTGCTTTAGGTGGGCTGCTTCAGGCCGAGATGCCAGCCTGGAGGAGCAATGACAGGACTGCTGCCTGGGCTGGGCATCGGCTCTGTGCCTCTCTGAGTGCTACCGTGTCCTCAGCCCCTACTTCCACATGGACCCTGTCTCCCTGAGGGCCAGCTCTGCTCTGGGAGAGCCCCTGCATGGATGCTCCACAGCCCTTCTGTCAGTGTCCAATTAATGCACATTGCCTCGATGGTGAAAATGAACTTGAAAACCTCGCATTATATGTTAGTTAGCTTTCCTGAGTCTCCTGTGACACTATTTATTTCACGAGTAGCATTCCAGCCTGTATGGAGGAAACACTGGGAGGGAAGGCCACTTTGTTAGACCCTAGCCTGCTATTTCTGCACAGGGTTCTACAATTGTTCTGCAATTGGGTAGGGTTGCTATCCTTGGGTTAGTTTGCTTACAGGTGCAGAAAATGTCAGCCGTCTGGAAAAACTTTGTTTTTGAATTTCAACATTCTAAAGCTTTCATATTGATGCATCCACTGATAACTTTCAGAGTACAGGATACAGTATATCACCAAGGATTTTATATTGTTATAAACTGCATCATTAGTATATATTTAATTAGATGAAAGCAAATGTTGTATCTCATATGTAGCGGGACTAATACTGTGCTAGCCGGGCTATGTTTTCCTGCTGTTCTGACATGTAACACTTCCTTTTCCTTAGAAAGGGTAGGAAACCTTTCTTAAATATAAGTAGTGTGTCGTCCTAGGCCTTCTCAATGTCTGCTTTTCATCTCTGCTCCTTTCTTCTCCCTGCTTGTCTTCTGAAACAACATCAGCTGGTGCTTGCTGAGCGCACACTGTGTGCCAAGCCCTGTGGGAGGCGCAGGGCCACAGTGGGACCCTGACGCTTCTGATGCAGGCTCTGCGCTGCTCATGTCCCTCCTTCTCACCAGTGTTTCTCTTCAGGTGATGTCACGGCATTGTCCTCACTTTTTTATTTAGCTTTTTAAATAAAGTTTTAAAAGTGTATCAAAGTAATAAACACATACATTATTTTTTAAAAATCAGAACATAATCCTCACCTAGAGGCAAACTCTTTTAGCTGTGTTTTTCTAGTAGATACAGCCATATTTTAAAAGAAAATGTCTATGCTGCTTTTTATCAATTTAGGGCATTTTGATTGACTTCCTGGTGTGGTTTTCGTGCTTTTATACACATCACTTCCACTCTGCCATGCAATATGGTTATAGATTTACTTTTTCAGTTCCATTGTGAGTTTACCATTAAAAGTTCTTTGAAACCAGACAAGGAGAGATGAATACAAAGTGGAGAGACTCCTCTGTTGAGCCCCACATACCAATCGCCCAGCTTCAGCATCCTCGCCACACGGCCTTGTCTCTGCACTGGTCTGCCCTCCACGCTCAGAGGATCTTGAAGTTTGCACAGTTTTTAATGAAATAAAACCAGCATTTGTAACGTTATGACTATGTAAACACTGTTCACCAGAAAAGCCAGGAAACGTGTTTGGATCTAATTCTGGACTTTGTACCAGCTCCCTGGCCTGCTGGTCTCTCCAGGCCCCGAACTTCACCACTTTGACTAGTGAGATTCTATGGGAGACCTGGGTGTGTGGGAGGGCCAGATCCCAGGGTTTTCCTTTTTCAGTGTTTTCCTGGCTGTTCTTGTGTATAGGTTTTTCCACGTGAACTTCAGTAGCAACTTGTCTAACTCCATAAAATAGCTTGTTGTTATATTTATTGGGCACGCTTTGAATTTGTCGGTTAACTTGTGGAGAATGGAAATTTTAAGAATGTTGATGCATCTACCCCAGCAGGGAGCGTGTTTCTATGTTTCAAGTCTACTTCCATATTCTCCAACAGAGTTTTAAAAACTCTCCTTGTATGGGTTTTGTACATTCCTTGTTTTGTTTATTCCTATGTATTTAATCTTCTTTGTTGCTTTGTGGGTGGGAATCCTTACGTTTATGTCCTCTAAGCATTTATTGTTTGTATATATAAAGGCTATTGATTTTTGTATGTTAATTTTAGGTCCTGCTAATTCAGTGAATTCTTTACATCCATCCGCAAGGGACCAGGCAGGAGTAGGTGGGAGGGGGTTTGAGTAGGGCAGATATGATGGAGCTAGAGAGGGCAGCTTGTTTCCTTACTCTGTTTTTTTTTTTAGCTATAATGCTGTTGCTGCCTTGTATCACAGGTTCCTGTATTTAAGCAAATTGTCTCTTCTATGTTCCAGATAGTTTTTTCAACAGGATTCAGTGTTTCTGAGAAATGCTTTTGATATCACAGGGGCACTGCCTTTTAGTTAGTGTTCCCAAGTGACTGGCTTTACATACTTATCTCATGTGATCTTCACAGTACTCAATAAATATTTGTTAAATGGATGAACTTTCACAACCACTCTGTGAAGTAGTCATTATCCCAGTTTGTATATGAAGAAACTTGGGGTCACTTGTCCAGGGTCAGGCAGCTATTAAATGTAAACTCAGAGTAAGGAATGGAGTATGTACTCCAGGTATTCATTCCCGTGAATCCATCATAAGTTTCTTACTTTCTTCTGCAACAGGCCCGGTACAAGCAGAGCCTCGATCCCACCGTGGATGAAGTGAAGAAGCTTTGCACATCTTTACGCCGAAACGCCAAGGAGGAGCGGGTTCTCTTCCACTACAACGGCCACGGGGTGCCCAGGCCCACAGTGAATGGGGAGATCTGGGTCTTCAACAAGGTGGGCATGCCATCAGAGGTTCCTGGGAACCAAATTCATTTCTCGTTCTGCCAAAAAATTTAAGTTTTGGTGGTCAGCTGCAGATCCTGTTCATCCGTAGCTTTAACTGAACCATTAATGTTTAATCCGTTTCCACAATCCCACATGTAGGAAGATTGAGTAGGACAATGGGCCAGTTATCTGGTGGGAAGTTTTGGAATCGTTTCTATTTCATTGTAAAAGCTGAAAAATAGGCACAAGGAGTTGTTTCTGCTGTAAAATATGTTAATGAAATGACTGTCTGGAAAGTCATGAGGTATGGGTGTGTGATTTATTTTTCCCTGTGAGGATATGAGTTCTTGTAGTTCTTTGAGGAAAGACCTCAAGAATATCAGCCTTCTAGTTTGAACAATTACAAGATTTCTCAATTTAGTTAGAATCTTCCTTTGAGAATCAGTGATTTTCTTAGAAAATAAAATGGTGTAAGTATTCCAAAGAGCTAACAACAAGCAACCTTGCAGACAGAGCCTCAGCTCTGCCCTCTCCAAGGTCGACGTTGCTGGCCTCTTGCAGTTCCTTAATCAAAAGACTGTGGGTGAGGGGCCGGCCCGGTGGCGCAAGTGGTTAAGTGCGCGCTCCGCTGCGGCGGCCCGGGGTTCGCTGGTTCGGATCCCGGGCGCGCACCGAAGCACTGCTTGGCAAGCCATGCTGTGGCGGCGTCCCCTATAAAGTGGAGGAAGATGGGCACGGATGTTAGCCCAGAGCCATCTTCCTCAGCAAAAAAAAAAAAAAAAAAAGAGGAGGATTGGCGGATGTTAGCACAGGGCTGATCCCCCCAAAAAAAAAAAAAAAAAAAAGACTGTGGGTGAAAGCAAGGGGTAGATGACACCCCTTCCGCCATCTTCCTGAGCTGTGAGTGGCAGGTTTCATCCCCTGTCCTACAGTGCGGGAACTTTGGCCCCCTCAGAGTAGCCAGGCTGCACTGCTCTTATCACGTTGCTCGTGAAAGGCACTACCTGGAGGTGTGCAGGGCCCAGCCTGTGGCCACTCCTTACGTGCTTAAATTTATATACAAGGGCATTGGTTTTGGGATCCAACAAACTTGAGTTCAGATTTTGGCCATACTGCTTTATTAGCTTTAGGACCATGGACAAACCATTAACCTTCCTGGACTTCTGTTTCAAGAAGCTGCTTCATAGTGTTGTAGTTAGGATAAAAGAGATGTAACGTATAAAGTACGCAAGAAACCACTCAAATGTCCTCTATCTGCTCCTATTTGGCGCAAGTGGCCATGCAGTGTAGGCAGATGAAACAATTGGAGCGGCTAGAGGAAAAGGAATGTAGAAGGGTCTAGACCTAGCTCCTCCCTCAGAGGTAGTGCCGTCTCTTCCTTGTATGTATCTAGATAACAACTTAATTTTAATTATTTTTATTAAATACTGTATAGATTCAAAACTATAATTATAAAAGAAGTAGAATTTAAAGAAAAACAATATAACGAACCACCAGATATCGACCAGCCAGCTCAGAAAATGAACTTTAGGAGTCCCTCTGTGCCCTCTTTGATCTCATCCCTTTCTCTCCCCTTCCCCCCAAGATAAGGGGCACAGTGAGTTTTGAGTTTATCACCACCTTTCTTTCCTTTAGAGCCCCTCCTTGTGTGGCTCTCCAGACACATGGAGGTTGGCTGTTTTCTAGTTGATGGGATTGGGATCATTCTGCGCATGCTCTTCCCACTCAGTGTTATCCTGGGAAGATCTGTCCCCACTGCTGCTGTGGCTGAGTTTCCTCCCTTGCTTCCGCTGGCGGGGGTGGTGATGTTTCAGGACCCTCTCTGTGGATGGACATTTGGGTTGGTTCTCATTTTTGTCCTGATCTAAACGCCTGAGTGTTTCCATTACCCAGCCTCCACGCCAACACTATCGTCAGGATTTTTTTTATCTGTACGAGTTTGGTGGGTGTCAAAGGATATATGGTGGTGTAATTCGAGTCTCCCTGCTGACTGTGAGGGTCACGCACGTTCTGATTGCTGTATTGGCCGTGTAGCCTTCCTCTTCTTGAAGTGCCGTGTCGTCTCCGTTTTTCACTTGGGTTGTGTGTCTTTTTCTTATTGATTTGGAGGAATTCTTGATATTCTAGACACTAATCCTTTATCATTGTTATGAATCGTGAATGTCTTCTCTGAATTTATGGCTCCATTTGTTGGTTGGTTTGTTTCTGTTCTCTTTATGGTGTCCCGTAGTGGACAGAAGTTCTTTATTTTGAAATGCTCAATATGGTCAGTCTTCTTTTATGGTGTGGACATTTTGTATCTTCTTTAAGAAGACTTTCCTTATGCCAAGATTGCAAAAGTATTCCACCGTATGTTCTTCTAAAAGTGTTATATTTTTGTCCATTACATTTAGGTCTTTAATCTACCTGGAAATGATTTTTGTACATATTGTTAGGTAGAGGTTCAAATTTATTTTTTTTTTGCAGGTGGATACCTACTTGTTCCATTACCATTTAATGCCAGCTTTGAACTAAATCAAGTTCCCACAGTGTGTGGGTATGTCTCTGAGCTCTCTGTTCTGTTCCATGGGTCCACCTCTGTGTCGATGATTTTACTGAGTGCAGGTTTTCAGTGATTCTTGCTATTTGGGAAGCTGCATTTCCCCCTTTGTTCTTCAGAGGTGTCTTGGCCATTCTTGGCCCTTTGATCCTCCATGAAAATATTGAATCAACTAGTAAATCAATGGATTAGTGAGGGGAGACTCAATATCTTGACAATGTTGAGTCTTCCAAACTTTGCTCTTTTTAAGTGTCTATCAAGTGTATTTTATAATTTCATAAAGGTTTGTATAATTTGTTAGATATATTCTTAGATACTTTATATTTTTTTGATATAGTTATAAATGTTTACCATAAAAATTATATTTTATAAGTTTTTACCAGGGTGTATGGAAAGGCAGTTGATTTTTGTACATTTATTTTATATCTACTAATTTTGCTGTTCTCTCTTGTTGATTCTAATAATTTATCTGTACATACTTTTTGATTTTCTTAATAGACTGTCTTGTCATCTGCAAATAGTGGCAGTTTTCTTTCTTTCCTTCCAGTCTTGTACCTTTGATTGCTGTTCTTGGCTCACTGTGCTGGCGAACCCCTCCCAAGGAGTGAAGTCATGACTGGGGCGTCTTTGTTTCAGTCCTCATTTCCAAGGGAGTGCTTTAAAAGAATAAAAGATAAGAAAATCCCTTATCAGATTAAAAAATGACCTTCTATTCCTAGTTTATTTTTTATTAAATCATGAATATTGTTGCTGTTTTGCAAGCCATTATGTGTGTCTGTGTATAAGATGATCATGTGATTTTTCCCCTTTAAAGTGGCAATGCATTGAATGATATATGATTTTCTAATATTGAATACACCTTTCATTTGTAGGATAACCCACAAATGTGTCATTATGAGTTATCTGTTTCATGCAGGGTTTAGTTTAGTTTGTTGGTATTTTTTTTTTTTTAACAGGCTTAATTCACTTCATTTTTCTTGTATAAAACTATGTGGTGGCCACAGCTGGAGCCTGGGTCCTCTGTACGGAGACTCGAGTGTGGTTCTTGACAAGATGGTCAGTGAATTCCTGATAGGGAGACTTGGTGAACACAGTCTCTTTCCAGAGGTCAGGGGTGAGATAGCTGTAGGTCTTGGAGATGGCATCAAAGGTGGCCTTGGCGAAGTTGCCCAGGGTGGCAGTGCAGCCCCTGGCAGAGGTGTAGCAGTCATCAATACCAGCCATCAGCAGCAGCTTCTTGGGCACAGGGGCTGAGACGATGCCAGTGCCCCTGGGAGCAGGGATGAGAGGCATCAGCACAGAGCCACAGCGACCCGTCACCTTGCAAGGGACAGTGTGGGGCTTGGCGATCTTATTCCCCCAGTAGCCTCGCTGCACGGGGACGATGGAGAGCTTGACAAGGATGATGGCCCCACGGATGGCAGTGGCTACCTCCTTGGAGCACTTAACACCCAGACCGACATGTCCATTGTAATCCCCGATGGCAACAAAAGCCTTGAACCTGGTCCGCTGGCCAGCACGGGTCTGCTTTTGCACCGGCAGAATCTTCAAAACCTCGTCCTTGAGGGATACTCCCAAAAAGAAGTCAATTATCTCAGACTCCTTGATGGGCAAGGAGAACAAGTAGATCCCTTCTAAGGACTTGATCTTCATGTCCTTGACCAAATGACCCAGCTTGGTGACGGGTCTCCACTCCTTGTCCTCGGCCTTGCCTCCGCGAGCTCCGCGGCCTTGGCCATGACCCCGGCCCGGGACGCTGCTGCCGAAGCCTCCGCGGCCTCCCATTCCAGGGCCCCCGGGGCCTCTGGGGCCTCCGGGCCCTGCCGCAGCACCGGCGTCATCCGCCATTTGGTGTTTTTCCTCAGAAGAAGCTGTTGATATTTTGTTTAATGTTTTTACCTCCTTGTTCATGAGTGAGATTGGCTTGGAATTCTTCTTTCTCTTGCCAGCTATGGATAATCAGTATAACTGTGGCCTTAGAAAATAGGTTGAGGGAATTTTCCTTTTTAGATGCACTGGAATAGTTTTCGTGAGATTTGAAGTATGTGTTGTCTGAATATTTGGTGGAATTTACACATAAAGCTGTCTGGCTGACATTTTGTTTGTGGAGAGATCCTTGACTACTGATTTAGTTTCTTTCATTGGTAAAGGGCTATTCGGATTTTCTATTTCTTCTTGAGCCAGCTTTGCTAACTTATTTTTGTAGGAATTTGTCCATTTCAGCTTAATTTTCAAATTTGTTGACAAAAAGTGACTCATAATATTCTGTTATTAATTTATCAAAGTCTGAGTTAGTGATGTTACCTTTTTCATTCTTCATACTGATAGTTGGTCTTTTTTCTTCTTGATCACTCTTACCAGAGGTTTCTGTACATTTCATTAGTCTTTTCAAAGAATCAACATTTGACTTTGTTGATCCTCCAGCAGGGTTGAAAGAACAGTAGAATGAATACTTCTATACAGTCGTGTG